TCCTATCTCAACTTAGACAACTTAGATGGTTTGTCAATTGCATCTACAGACGTAGCAATGCTGAAAAAACGCTACAGAAGGTCCAAAATAGGACATGGAAGTACAGTAACTGCATCAGCATAGCTGAGAAAAAGGCTCAACAATAACAGAATACAACATCAGACAGACAACCGTCTTCTCCAGCCGGACTCCAAAAAAACAGTTCAAAAAAGAAGGTATCTAGAGAAAAACAGATTCTAGAAGCCACTACAGCGCAACAGACAAGCAACAATCTGAAACAAAAAACATCCACACGGTCAGCTTGGCCTGCGCGCCACTGCAGCATCAGGACAGTCTGTAGTATCCAACTGCCCTGCTACTGTGTTTAACGGCTTTTGTTCATTATTTCAAAGCAAATATGCCTTTGCAGCGCTACTCACAACTCTTCGTTTGCTTCCCTTTGAAAAGTCAAGTCACTAATCCTCAACAGTGTAAGCTCGATGTGTAAAGGGGGTAACTACACCAAGTTTGGTATATCTTACAGGTTACTTAAGCCATAAACATAGGATCGTTGAAGATAATGCTCTGTTGGACAGGTGTCGCAACAGCAGTTCTTTCTAAACTATCGAAATACCATGTAAGAAACCCTTTATTTCAATAAATTATGCCCTATTATTATTTGATCTAATTTAAACTCAGTGCATCGTTCTTTTGAAACTTCCTCCTAAAGACAGTGCGCTTACTCTCCCTAACTCTTCTTCAACTAGTTACAACTAGATTGCATATGTTATTCAATTTAGTCTAAAGTTACATGAGTACGACCGCAACAGATAACATACTGTATGCAATAATATGAAATTATTTTATTACTAAATGGCAATTAACTATAATAGAAATAAGTATGTACACTTTTCGCTGTCATTGTTACCGGCATATTACCGGTCTTACCAATACCTCAATTTTGGTTTCATATTACGACTGGCAAATCAGTAAATGAGCAACGGTTCTTAAAACTTCATTGATGACGACAAGAAACTGCTTCAGTTAATACAGACAACGTGCTGTGGTGCATTATGTCTACACACGATGTGTGCTCTATGCTGTACGTTCTAAAATACCACGAGGTTATAGTCTATTCAAATGACAATCTGGGCCTCACAAGAGAGAGGGCGAAACATTTAACATATTGCAAACAGTGGTCTTTTAAAATTACTGTAATATTTTTCAAATCAGCAGGTGTTCTTCAAAAGAAGTTTTCATTGAGAAAAAGGCATTGGTTAAAGGCACTGGCATTAAAGAATACACATTTTAGTTTAAATATATTTTTTCTACTTTTTCCCATGTCTGTTTACATGCGCCGAGATCACCAACTACTGTAACCCAAGCGTATCCTAGACAGTCGTATGTTTGAGGCTTAAAACTTTCCACCGACTGGAATGGTACAGAGAAAGAAAAAAGTGACAAGACACGACAAGCTTAGAAAAACTGTCTAATACAGATCACTTGACTATCGCGCTTACTGTAAGCAAAGGTGATTTTGCTTTTTCGAATTTCCTAGGTTTTTGTACGGTTTTAATAGTTCGCACGGCTTTTAATATGGTCACATACGCGACCCTGACCTTTCTATCACTTCGCCCTGTATCTCCACCCAAATATGTTTGCGGTGCTTCCTTTAGTCCATCTGCGAATGGTCTAAATTGCAAAGCAAATGCTTTTCATACGAGGCAACTTCGAAAGAACTCTCGGAGCCCGCGAATCTAGAGCTGGTCAGCTAGCTGGGCTAAAGAAGAGGTCTCTCGACAAATTTTAATTTCCGTTCATTGTTTTTTGGATGTTCTTCGTGCTGAAAAATATGTCTATGTGCCATATATCCAAGTAGCAAAATACAATACATAATCGTGATTAAATCTGACATTTTGAATTACATTGCTAATTCGTATATACGCACATACGCGTCTTTGCAAGTTCTAGATCATCCAGTCCTGAAACCGACCATCTTAACGTGGCCACCGACCACTTTGAACCGAGGTACAAACCTGCATTGTAAACCAACACACAACTCACGTAAGAATGATTATAAGATGGAAGTCAATAAGTGAGTAATGCAATTCTCGGTACAAACTCATCATTATATTGTCGCAACCCTGCCTTTTCATCCAAAAACATTCAAAATGCATTCAGAATAGTCATGACGCCGGAACCAAACAGAGCTCGTCATATAAAAAAATGAAAAGCAACTCGTCCAGGTTTTACCCTACCAAAAGGTGACTAGCCACCTTGAGATCGTTAAGGACCTTGCTCCGGATTTAACAGAGGTTATACGCTACCTGAATCCGAACTAAATTATCTAAATTACTAAACGAAAAATTGCATTTAAAGTTTTATAAACTAACATTTGTAAACTTTAATCCAAAGCCGATGCCTAGACCTGCTTGAAAGCTTCTTTTGAAAACTCCTACTACAGTGGAGGCGGGTCTGAAGGAGTCATTATTATTAAAATAGTCATTATAAAATAGTCATTATTATTAAAATAGCGGCAGATCAAAAGACGCGTAAAAAATTCTTGAACAGTTATAACAAACAGCCTAAGCTTACTCAAATTAACAAAATACGTAATACACAACCTACACGCAATGGGCTGTCTTTCAGAGCCGGATTTTAAGATGAGTGACAAAACCCGGGATGTCTCCGATTAGAAAAACTGCTGCAGCGAGTAATTAAGAATCACCTGGTTGCAGAATGCCCTGTGAACCGCTGGATATAAGTACAATTTTGCGCTGTTTCGCGGTTTTCCATTTGTCAAGGCAAGGTGTAAAGCAGTCGAGGGCGTCCACCACACACGAATAGTGGAATAACCATATTGCATGAAAATTAACCGTAGCAAGGAGTTTGAAAGAAATGTTAGAAGGTACTGCGACTCCATCCCTAGTGGAATGGGCGGAACAATACGCAGTATGCTGACAGCACTGAATCGCAGGGAATGCTCGTCGCCGTTAAAACAGCACGCTGTCAAATTCCAAAATGCTGTACTCAGTCCCAAATTGGTCGAAGAAGCTATTTTCTTCGAATTCCATAGAACTATGTTGTTGTTCTTGGGGATTCGATGAGCTTCAAATTTTAGACGACACACTTTACAACTCAGCTAACGGTTCTATCTATCAGTGACAAACCTTGGCTAACCAGTAAAGAAGTCTGATTGTCTGGTGGTTTATTAAGGCTGTTGTGCAATATCTCGATTATAGCAATTTGGTACATAAATATACTCCTGTTCTATTCTCACTGCCATTCATTTATTACTTAACTTTGGCAGTGAAGAGTAATTTGTCAATGTTAAAAAGCAAAATTCCTCGCTGATCTTGTTCAAAAAGTACACTTTGCAGTCACCTTTATGAAACGTTTTCTAATATATCTGGACTCATACCAGCGACACTTTCAATTACTGTATGCTACATAAAATATGGCATATTATAAGCAAAATGTTCCAAAGATATATGACCAACAAGGACAATTAGACACAACTGGCTTTCATTTCGTTATTGTCCTTTTATTCTTAGAAGCCTATGAAGTTCTTTAAATAACCCATGGTTCAGATTCCAATTTTAATAAGCCACTAGCGATGCGCCCTAGACAGAGAATACGCGAACTCGTATCATACAGAAATACCAAAAAAGAAGATACACATAAAAAGCAGTCAAAAAGTTACTACATACATCGGCTGGAGAGGTAAAAGCGACAACGTAATGATGGCAACCGCGAACAGCTGATGTGAAATTGACTGTTACGACGGAACTCATGGAATCGCGACCTAATTAAATTGGTCCCTTAGACGTCTACAAGCAATATATGGTACAACATCGCGGTAAAACCCGGAGTAACGACAATATCGTCATCAGCTTGTTATTCACAACGGCAATATTGATGTAAATCAACGGTATTTAGTGTAAACAAAAATATAAAAGATAAAGTAACGCTTTTGGATTAAAAAGTATTAGCGGTGATTTAACGATCATGTAATTTGTCACAATTTTGAGCTGGCGTATGAGGGTGATCATTTCGACCCTACTCAGGGATGTGTTGCGTATGCACATTGTTTAAGCCATAAGGCTAAGTTCTGCACGCTAAGGCCTGATTTGACAGTGATACTATGCTGTACCAATTCATGGCTGAAGTTCATATGCCATGAAGCGGTGACTTGCTTAAAAAATTCCCGGTTGCGCCATCTTCTTCGCCGATACCACAGCTCCACTAGTGTACAGTACAATCGTTAGAATATCGTTTAGGATTTTGAACCCTGTTAAGTGTTTCGCTTTCAAATTACAAAACTCACGTTTACATACGTCAAATCAATTTTTTTGGATTTCAAACGAGTTAAGTTCCCGAACAACAGATCCCTGCATGCAAATTTTACCTATGTACCCGCCAACGTTTCGGGTCACGTTAGAATGGTCTACAAGGTAATAATGAAACGCAAAGCTTACGCTGCTATCCAGGTCGTAGCTGCGAAGAAGGCAATCCAGTGGTCGACAGCTGACATATATTAACGGCTATTCAGACGCCATCATGTCAGCATCTTTGTCGTGGCTGAAACAGTATTAGTTCGGACTATGAGCGTCTCTTTCGATGTTTGAGGCCTGATCCCCGTCACCTTCCATTTTTTGTTAAACAAGTAGCAAATTCATTGCTTACCGCATATCGCTTAACTGTTATCGCATGCAGTTTTTATGGCATCGGGATCGTTCACCTGTCTTCTCTTTTTTGCCCGCTGAGGCCGTCCTCTTTGTATGCCGTCTACACTTCCACATTTACAGGGAGGCGAATATCCATACTGTTGGTTACGTGGTTATTTAGGCGTTGATCAAGATATGAGCACCACTTTAATTCCTAGAGTGAAATCCGATCCTGCCCAACTTTTCATCGAAGTTCGGGATATACGATAAGGATCGGATATTACTGTCATATTACGATATCCTCTAATCATTAATGACGCTTGGTGCAAAACTGCTCCAAAATAACTCAACATGAGTGACCACCATTCTTTAGGGCAATGTCAAAATGCCATGGTTCTTTCTGAACGCTGCTATTATCTGAGTTTAAATGCAGGTATCAGCAGAATCGCTAAAACATTGGCCATGTCCTTTTTAACTCCGTCAGAACGGACTGAGGAGTAGGAAAGAAAACTGGCTTCACGGCTTGTGGCAAACTTCACTTGCATATCCATCACTCTTTGCATGAATAAGACATCTAAAAAGGAATTTTTTCATGCCTGTCTATATCCATAGTGACGATTACATCAAATGGAAGCAACTGCTTAAGGTGCACCAAAAGGCCTTTCAGGCTTTACAAAAAGGCAAATATTTTATCCACAAGTTTCTTAAACAAGAGTGATGACTCCCTTTCCAATGTGAAATGTAAACTGTCCCAGATGTTCCAAGAATATTTTTGCAACAGTTAATGAGTGAGGATAGCCCTTCGTTGTGCCACTCTCTTACTTGTAAAAAGTACACTCAACCGAAAATACCTGGTATGCCAAACACATCTTGAGAACATCAAGTAAATCGATTACGGATATAAGGTTGATTTTTTCTTTGGTCGTTCATCGTTACTCAACAGTCAGGAGACGACGTTCAACACGGTTGGCAAAGGAAGACAAGTCAGAAGGTTCATGTCACAACTCACCATGAAAATCTTCTTGCACTCGATGTATGGGAATTTGCTGAATGAAATCAGTAAAGCTAGTCACACGAGTGTTCAACAGTTTATCGTATTTCTTCAGGGCAGGTTGAATCAATTGGGAAATAATAGAGAGTATCCTGCCTAAGCAGCCGACGATGGGTCATGTGGGCGTTTCGGGCTTATGAATTTGTTTGGAGCATAACTCTTTCAAGATCACATCTGCAGGCGTGTTGCGCAGCTTCAAGCTCTTGGTTGCCTTGGTTTGGGTAAAAGGGCACTTAAACGGCATATCGATCCATTTGAAGATGCAATTCACATCATTTTATTCGCTGAAGCAATAGAGCGATGAATCTATGCTAATCGTTTCAAACATTTCCAGCCTGTTCCGATCTCATAGGTCTAGTCACAAGAAATTCGACCGAATAATCCCAACGTTCGGTTTGAAGCGACACCGAGAGCAGCAAGCACACTGATGCCACGATAGAAAAGAATTCACTTTACCAAGAGAATCGATAGGCCGTGCTATGGCAAGGGTACAACGAACACGCGATGCTTACTTGATGCAGTAGAAATTCGCTTCCTGCCGTTGAACACGGTCTGAAACCAGCTGGTTGATGCACAGTTCAACAATAGGATGTGTCGCGTTGCCCTCTGCCTTTGCCAGGTCCTTCGCGACGGCCAGCACCTTAGGCGATACCTGCGTCGGAATGGGGATGCCGAGCTTCGTGAACAACGCGCATACCACACGGCCGACACCACCCACCTGATCCACATCCAGGCATTCAAAGTCCGACAGTGCCTTCGACGGCCCGGTCAGGTCGTACTGCCTTCGCCGTGTCGGATCTGATAGAACTGCATAAGCAATCGAGATCTTTTTGAACTTCTCAGCCGCCTCTGACGATCCGGGGTTCTTGTCCGGATGATATTTGAAGGCCAACTTCCGATAAGCGGCTTTGATTTCAGACTCAGACGCAAACTTTTCAACGCCTAACAATTTGTAAAAGTCGTTCTCTTCTTCGACTGGTTGATGAAATTCAGGAGTAGCGGACATCTTTCACTGCATTAATACCACCAACGCAATGCTGCATGAATAACTTAAATTAATATCTACAGAACGCCAAGAACCGCAGGTACATTTCTGTTTTGTATAGCAATTCTACAATAGCAACGTGAATGAAACTTTGTTGCATTACGTAATAATAACTCTTATAAGAATCGTCAAAATTGCATTACACCCTAAACGTTAAACTTTCATCATCATCATCATCATCATCTTCCATCGCCGCTGCTCCTTTCGGGTCGCGGAGGCAGACACGTAAGACAGAGCTTTCAACGTTCCCGATCCTGTGCCAGACTCTGAGCTTTGGCAAAACACAAATGGAGTCTGGAACAGACACTTTCCATATATTTGACTAAGGTTGATCTTGGCCGTCCCCTGGGCCTTCTGTCGGTCGGATTTCCAAGGAACAGTTGCCTAGCCTTCTTTTCTGAACGCATTCCCAACACATGCCCAAGCCATTGCGGCTGTGACTTCTCAATCTGGAGAATCAAAGGCTGTATACCAAGGCTCTTCCAGATGTCACTATTCCGGACCATGACGAGACGTGAAAGGCTAGAGACTTGTCTAAGAAAGCCCATTTCAGCAACTTGTACCCGGGTTCGAAGTTTTTCAGTGATCGTCCACGATTCATGACCTTAGGTAGGTACGGGGATAAAGATCGACTTGAATATCGAGAGCTTAGTTTTCAGACTGAGCTCTACTTTAGTCACAGTGGGTTGGGCTAGTTCAAGCAAAACGTCCCTGGCTACTCCATTTCGCCGGTCGATCTCTTCCTCATATTTTCCATCACTAGTAAATACAATTCCGAGGTACTTGAACTTCTCCAACTGCTCCACTGCCTCTCCGTTAATCCAAATACAGCAACGCGCAGGAGAACGAGAAAGCACTAGGCTTTACGTTTCAGATGCGCTCACATGCATGCCGCCACATTGCTCTCGGTTGCGAACCTTTCTAAGGAGCACTGAAAATCAGTTTCAGAAGATGCTAATAAAACAAGGTCGTCTGCAAAC